CTTCGGAGGTGACATTGCACACTGGAAGCAAACCTCTCAAGCTCTCCCTGCGATGATTTAGCCATAAGTTTGCACAGCTTCCCCTGAAACCATCTGCTCGTGGTTTTCTGCATAGTCATTTGATGCCTCACTCAGCTTCTTGGCCAGTACCTTTAGGTACACCTTTTAACGCTGCTGGACAAGCATCCTCAGTACAGTAGCCTGTGCAGTGAGGAGACTCTCAATCGTTGTAGTATTCTTGGAAGTCAGAAGGGTGCTAGCCGTAGGATGAAAGTACATAACCCTAGCCCGAAATATCCCTATGTAACCCCTCACATGCCTACATGACCCTATATTATAACCCCAATATCCTTCTAAAACCCTATATGGGGGTTTCCCAANNGGTACCATTTTAGGGGTCCCAATACTAAGGACTATAGTATTTTGGGGTCCTATTGGGGTCACCTTATTTTGGGAAACTACCATATGACCTGGGAAGTAGTTGTGACCAGGTTTCCTGGTGGATTGGCTCGCCCTACAGGCGGGATACTGTGAGCCCTGAAGCTCAAATCAACAACAAAAATGAGACCCTACACTCCCCATCTCAACATAAAGTACATTGGGGTAATATGCTATGGTATATTCTAGTATATTTGGGTAATAGTGGAGAATGGAAAATAAAATGGAAACTGCGGGGATTATAGGGATTATAAATGCGCCGTAAAAAGACAGGCACCCTGTTGAAAGAGCCCTTACGAGTGTTGCAATCGTGAGAAGTAAAAAAGTAGTCGTCCGAAAGCAGAACTAGTTGTTCGCGCAAGCAGAGTTGTGCTCACTCGGGAAGAGATGCAACAGTCGTACCTATGATGACAACTGCAATGGTAGTTTCTGCAGTAGTCATAAATTGTAGTGATATGAAAGTCCATGGCATATCAGCCTAAAGATCTTCATATTGGCGCTGCAAAGGCTTGTCTCATTGTCGCCAGTCGGTACTTCAGAAAATTCAGACTTGAGGGCTATATTGGGATAATGGAAAAGAAAATGAAGCTACTAAAACTAGGGTATACATTGAGGTTCTGTCGGGGGTATGTTGACAATTATGAAATCGGCTGACTTAAGTTACCATAGTCGAGAAACCTTATTATTTGCTGTATGTACCCATTATGGTAACTTAATTCAAGTTCCTTAACAGCAACCTAGAAACCTGCAGCGCCAGGGGCCAGCAGGGGATGCAAATGACATGCGCGAAGCGGAGCTCCAGCGAGGCTTCCGCGGTCTGGGCAGTGATTCCAGAATTTCTCCAAGTCATGGTGCCTAAATCCTACTTACTGGTCCTTACTAGGGAATAAGGGTTTCCTTTGTCTCGTGCGTGGGGAGGTGCTGACAGCCCAGGCCGACACTAGCAATGCATGATCACTGTGTAGCAGGTGAATTTCGCGAATCACAGCCTATTTAAGCTTGAAGAAGACTTGCAGAATGGCTTTGTAATCTCCACATACCCCAAAAACCTCCGAAGGCTACGCATTTCGAGAAATACCCACATGGATTTGATGTAGGTGATTGGATTGTTCTTCTACACAACCCCATGAGTCCATGCGAAACCTTGTATAGCTAATGTAGGACCAACCATCACCTGTAAGACCTTCGATCACTGCTGTAGGGGAGTTTATCACAACAACCCCTTGAACATCCTGAATAGGGAGCCTTACAGGCCGGTCGGCTACGCTGCTGGAGACCATTCACGAGGCCTTGCTGTGCCATAGCGCGGGATGACATGCTGCCCCTCATGATTACAATGCTCATTCGGACTGCTCCAGATGAGTTGGTTTTCATTGTCGTCACATTTATTACATCATGTACTGTAACTATTTTGTGTTTTATGAATATTGTATTAATTGAGACAGCCTCTGGCTCACCTGCAAGGCAAGTCAAGAATGTACTAAAGGGAGCCAGTTCTGACCATTGCTGAGCGAGGGGCACGCGTCAAAGCCCTCACAATGGCCAGCCTGTGAGAACGTAATCTGGTGCCACTGGAGGGGGAAGGAAGGGTGGGTGTTGCAGATCCGCGATCCAGCGAATAACGCTGCAAACTCGTCGTCATTCGTTTGTCCATGATGCGCTTAAGAATTGAAATGCTGCCAGAGGATGCGTCGAGAACTGGTGTCAGCGTGGTACACGGCGTTGCCTTTTAAAAGTTTTCATACGCTGGAAGCAACCTTGCAAGCGAGTGTGGCGATCTACAGAGTGCTGCAGTGCCGTGGCGTCACACATGCCAAGCAATTCCTGTGAACCTGACTATAAACCTTGAACCCTAAATACTATAGTAGTTTCCTTATTCTTTTTCATTATTACTGTTATTAATCTACCTACTAAGTCCCCATGAACGTCCCTGCAGCTGGCCTTCGCCTCAGTCTGCTCTGGGCCGTGCATCCGCCAATGCCCTGATGCATGTGCTTGAGGGCTTAGCATTGAGGCTGAAGCGTTGCAAGTGGATTTCAATTACCCCCGCTACCCTCTCGGCGTTTTACTGGGTTGCTGTTAAGGAACTTAAATTAAGTTAGCATAATGGGTATATATAGTAAAAAAATAGGGTTTCCCCAATATAGTAACTTAAGTCAATTTCCTCAACAGCAACCCAGTTTACGGTCTGGGTTGGAGGATTCCGTTTCCTCTGACCATCCATTGCGCCCTCAAAGTCGGGCAGATGATGACGTTTGCTTTCGCAAATGCAATGTTTGCCGCATTTCTACTAACGATACGACTTTCAATGTGTTTGCCATCAATATTAGCAGATTGCATGTCATTGTCATAATATGGTGAGTTGTCAAAACTATGGTCCTCTCTCGGTACCCCAGAATTTGCGGCCGTATATACTCGGAGCCCCAAAATGGACCGTAAATTTAGCAGCCTACCCTTGTATACATGTATGTGTATATTTAGATATGTTACGATTTGTAAATGTACAGGTCGGAGCAGAAGAGGCCGAGTCGAACGAGGCTGTGGGCTCAATCCGGAAAGATGTGAGCTGTAGTCGAAATCCCTTAACGTGTAGGTGGGGTCAGACCTTTTCTCATTAATTGTGGTACATTAGGAAGATCCACGGGCCTGAATACTCTTAGTGCATCGGGGCCCAACTTCTATTGTTTGTTTTAGTGTTGGAGGATTACGGGGTGTAAGTGTTCTAGGACTTTAATTTTCAGGTTTGGGCTTTAGGATTGTCAGGTTGAGGGTTAGGGCTCCTGCGTGGTGGTTGAAGCGAGCGAGTGAGTGCTCACCATCACCTTTCACATATCTAGGGTTTAGGGTTTGTAGAGATAATCGAGATGATGTAGGAACATCATATTGTAGTTTCCCAAATAGGACCCCAAATATAGACTCCAATCCTTATTATCAGGACCCCTAAAAAGGTACACCTAATTTTGGAAACCCCCAAATCTACCAAATATCCAAAGAAGTTCAACTTCCTAGGGATTATGTAGGGGTTATATAGGGGTTAAATTGGGTTCAGGGTTTCTTCATATTCGGCGTACCTTGAGTAACAGGTTTTCAGATAGATGTTGCGTGCTGTCAATAGTGTACTTGCCATTAAAGTAGCGGCTTACATTTTCAGACTGGCAAACGCAGAGCTGAAAGGTGCTGGTACAATTTTTTATGGGATTCAGGGTTTGGGGTGTAGAGTTTGCTTGTCTCTGGCTCTATGAGGATGATGTATACTTCGGTCTTAAGAAGGTTGACATGCTTCTTGTTGCCTGCTCGAGCTGTGAAAGTCTTCAACACCAGGATATGTCAGGAATAAAGGCTAAACCTGAAATAGTAGTAGTACTAGTGTCCATCTTCTTTTCCATTATCCCAATATAATCTCTATATAACCGCAATATTACCCCAATGTGTGAGCTTTCACGGCTTGCATGGATTTTCGGAGCCCAAGAAGAAATCGACCCCAGGAGCCCTATAGAGAATGTTAACAAGCCTAATCCCAAAAGCCTCAACAATACACCCTTAAGTATTGTATAGGGCTTAGGGCTTAGGATTTTGGATATGGGGATTTGCGAAAGTTTGGGATCCATTTTGGGGGGTTTCCTATAACGAGGATTGAAATATTCAAGCCTATGAACGGGACACCCTTGTAATCCCATATATTGTATCAAAAAACCATTTACTTGTAGACGGGTTGTGCATGGGCCTCCTTCAAGGGTATCCACCTGACAACTACCAATCTGGAAGCCCTCTTCTGACTAAACAGCTCCCTAACCTTAAACCCTAGACACTAAACCCTAGACCCTAAACCCTAGACCCTAAACCCTAAACCCTAAACCCTAAACCCTAAACCCTAAGCCCTAGACCCTAAACCCTAAACCCTAAACCACTACATCCTAAACGTGGTCTTTGCATGATTGGAGGGCTTCAGCCCGGCGGAGCAGCTCAAGGCAACAAGGGCCGAGGCCCAGATGTCAAGCAATAGTTGGAACAATTAGGGTTTAGGGTCTAGGGTTTAGGGGTTCTATGGGGGATAATGGAAAAGAAAATGGAAACTACTATAATGGGTTTTATAAGGGTTCTATAGGGTTTGATATAGGGTTATATGGGTGGTTGTCAAAATTATGGTCCCTTTTTGGATCCCTGTTAAAATACGGCACGGAATATTTAGGGTACCTAGAAAGGGACCCTAATTTTGACAACCACCCAAATGAGGGTTTGAGGTTTAGGGTTTAGGGCTTGGGGTGTAGGGATTAGAGGCAACAACACAGGGGATGATTCTATTTTCCCATACTGAGAGCAAAATCAGCTGCCAAATAGTTGCAACATTGGGACGCTGGGAAGATCAGGCTGATAGTGTTTGCGATATGAGTCCAGCATTATATCAGTACATAGAAGAAGAAATTGACAAAAAAAGGTCCTCTATTGAATCTCCAACATACCGCTGAGTTCTCGCTGAGTTCTCGCTCTCTCTTGCAAAGTTGACTTGCCGCGCTACCAGCCTTAGTTTTTGCCTTAGACCTGATCCCATTCAGACGCCACGGATGGCTCTGGACCTAGCTGGGAAGAACGTCTTAATCACAGGTGCCAGCGCTGGCATCGGAAAGGAGCTGGCATTGCAGTTTGCCAACCTGGGGGCAAACCTGGCTCTACTTGCTCGTAGGCTTGACGTCCTCAAGGAAGTCGCAGCAGAGTGCAGCATCGCCTCGGGGAAGAAGACCAAGGTTCTCCCGCTGCAGTGTGACGTCACAGACCGGGCCTCCTGTAAAGAGGCTGTGCAAAAGGTTGTCGCGGAGCTGCACTCTGTGGATGTGATCATCCTCAATGCGGGGGTGAGCATGGGATGCTACTTTGAAGACATCAAGGACTTATCAGACGCGGACCGGCTCATGGATTTGAACTTCATGGGGACGGCAAACGTGCTTTTCTATGCGCTGCCCCACATCCCGAAGCGCAGCGAGTCCAGAATTGTGGCGATTTCTTCTGTCGCCGGATTATTTGGCATCCCGTTCCGCACCTTCTACTGTGCATCGAAGTGGGCTCTGCATGGTTTCTGCATGTCACTTCGAACCGAACTCCTGGATGCCTATGGAAAGAACTCACCGGCGGTTGTGTTGCTAGGTTGCTGTTCAAGGAACTTAAATTAAGTTACTACCATGGGGGAACCATTTGAGTTACGATATATATACATATATATACCCAGAGTGACTTTGGTTTCAGTTCCTTAACAGCAACC